ATCAAATAGGTCAAAAGATATACATACACTAAGCTCAAAAACACAAAAATATTGTAAAAAAACACTCAAATATCAAAAAAGTACGAATTTCAATTTTGATTTTAAAAACTTTTGTGATATATCGTTAGAAAGAGTATGAAGAGCACATTAAGAATCCGAAAAAATTAACCCTCTAGGATAATTAGGTCACGTGCTAGAGCAGTCCAAATTTGCGAATTTGGCTGTTTTTAGACATACATAAAAACGGAAGTAGATGTCGGAGGTCGAATATGAAAGTATCAGCTGATAGCCAAGGTCAATGACCTTTGACCCAATGAAGGTCAAGGTCATCAAAGGTCTAGGTCATGATATATGAGCCTTCAAACTTCGAAAAAATTCAATCGGAAATTGCAAAAAAGCAAAAGCGAAATTCAAAAATCGGCTCCCACAGTTTTTTTCTAATTTTTATTTTCTTTCATTTGACACCAAAATCATCAAAATCGGATAAGCCGTTATCTCTGAATAGATTCTGACGCATTTCAGAAAAATCAAAATGGCGACCAAAATATTACCTTCGGACCGGATTTTATATTCTTCGTTTTTTTGTCATAACTTTGGCTATCGATTCATATAAGTTTCGTCGCGCTAAATTAATTACACCGGAAGTAGTTCCACCGGAAGTGAGAATCGATTTCCCGTTTGAACCGGAAGTAAAGTAAAAAATTTGACTATACAATTTTGTTGAATTGTCTTTGCTCAAATTTTTTTAGATTAATCAGACAAAAAGCTAAAAAGTTTTTTTTTTTGTTAAAAAATTGCAAAATTCGGCCGAAAAAAGTGTGCGACAAATTTTCGAATTTCGAAGTTGTTTAAGTGCTATTATATCAGAAATTACACGTAGATTCCAGAAAGAAAAACCCGAAGAAAATCGACCGGAAAATGCGACTTTTAGGTCCGATTTTCTACTTTTTGCACATATTGGACTGTGGCATTTCCGGTTTTGCAAAAATGTTCCAATTTATATTTATGCAACACGTTGCCACTACAGAAGGTCTAGGAAAGTTGAATGGTTGCTGCAACTATTGCAGTCTAAGCACAAGAAGGTGTGTAAATTTCGAAAAAAAAAAAAAAAAAAAAAAGAATAGACATTTCGATAACAAACTGGGACTTTGCTGAAAGCAAAGTCCCACAACTAGAGCCACACGTGGCACAGAGTGGGACTTTGCAAATGTAGCAAAATGCAAAAGACTCTGAAAAAATCAACCTTCCACGATAATTAGATCAAGCGCAAGAACAGTCTAAAGTTGAGAAATTTTCATTTTTTAGAAGATTTGAATACCGGAAGGGGACGTCAGACCTCACAAATGAAATTATCAGCAGATAGCCAAGGTCAATGACCTTTGATCTTGTAAAGGAGAAGGCCTAAAAAGGTCAAGATCAAGAGATATACGCCATTAAAATTTCAAATTGCTAACGACTATAAAACCAGAAGTTGACTAAGGACAGCAAATATAAAAGTATAAATAGATAGTCAATGCCAATGACGTTTGATCCTACAAAGGTCAAGGTCAACAAAGGTCAAGGTCAAAAATTGAAAATTTTGAATTTCCAAAACCTGTTCCTTTTTTTGAACTATGAAGCGGAAACAACCAAAATTCTAAGACAAAGTGGCTCAAAATATGAGGTAATTGTGTAAGAAGTTCCATTTTGAACAAATGTATACTTTGCGAGTTATGCCCCTGGCCAAAAATGTCAATAATGAGTAATTTAACCCGGAAGTGCCACGCCCAACTCAATTTTTTTTGAATAAGTTAATCAATATTCAAAATGTTACGTTATGTTCCAAATGTCAAGTTCCTACATAATAGAGGTCAAAAGAAATAGGTCAACAAAAGTCAACAAAGGTCAAAATCGAAAAATGAAAATATCCAAATGTTAAAACCCGTTCCTTTTTTGGAATTATACAGCTGAAACAACTGAGCTGTTAATACAAACTGGCCAAAAGGATGAGGTAATTGTGTGCAAAGTCCCTTTTTCAAAAAACGTATCCTATGCGAGTTATGCCCCAGCCCCAAAATGTAAACAATTAGTAATTCAACCCGGATGTGCCACGCCCACCCCAATTTTTTTGCCATAGGTGAATTCATATTGAAAGTGCCTAGTTGTATTCCAAATATCAAGGTTCTCCATAAAATAGGTCATAAGATATACATACACCAAGATTAAAAAGACACAAATATGGTAAAACAATACTCAAATTTGAAAAAATCACGAATTTCAATTTTGCTTTAAAAAAGCAATTGTTCTATATCTATGTAAAGTGCATGAGAAGAACATTAGGAAACCGAAAAAATTAACCCTCTAGGTTAATTAGGTCACGTGTTAGAGCAGTCCAAAGTTGCGAATTTGGCTTTTTACGGATAGCTATAAAACCGGAAGTACATGTCTGGGGTCAAAGGTCAAAGTATCAAATGATAGCCAAGGTCAATGACCTTTGACCCTAAAAGGTCAAGGTCATCAAATGTCAAGGTCACGAGATACAAGCCTTCAAAAAGTGAAAAAATTCGACCGGAAGTTGCAAAAAAGCAAGTCAAATTCAAAAATCCATTTCCAACATTTTTGTCGCCATCGACTAAAGTATACACCAACATAAAAATTTGACCAATCCCATTCTCCCCCGAAGCCCCATTTTGAGTTTTATGAAAAAGTATCAAATCAAGATGGCGGCCGAAGTATTTTTTTCGGACTAAATTTTATTTTAAAATCGGCCATAGAATTAAGATTAATAACGATATACATAATTTCGTTGAAATATTTCAATCACACCGGAAGTTATTCAACCGGAAGTGAAAATCGGTTTTCCACTTTAACCGGAAGTGACGCAAAAATTTTGAATACGTCAAATGGTTTACATTAGTGACATGCATCTTTTATCAAAATTTCAGATTAATCCGAAAAAAACTGAAAAATGATCCAAAAATTTCGAAAATCGGCCAAAAAATGTCTGCGACAAATTTTCGAATTTTGAAATTTTGAAACTGCTATTCTTTCAGATTTTAACAGTAGATTCCAAAAATGCAAACCCAAAGAAAATCGACCGAAAAATACGACTTCTAGAGCCGATTATCTATTCTTGCACATATTGAACTGTGGCACTTCCGGTTTTGCAAAAAAGATCCAAAATATATTTATGCACATCGTCGCCTATATCTAAGGTTCGTGAATGTTGAATGGTTGCTGCAACTATTGTAGTCTAAGCTGAGGAAGGTGTGTAAAAATCGAAAAAAAAAAAAAAAAAAAAAAAAAAAAAAGAATTGACATTTCAATAACAAACTGGGACTTTGCTGAAAGCAAAGTCCCACAATTAATATGCCAGTTATTTATCCTGAGGAATTCTACAAAATTTTTTAAAATCAATATCAATAACCAAACCAAGGACAAATCATTATGGAAACTACCTGCTCTAAAGAAATCTACCTTAATTATTGGATCATCTAACCTGAATCGAATTACCAAAACCAGTTCAGACACTGAAATACATTCTTACCCCGGTGCCCAAATCCATCACATACAGTCAATCCTGGAATCATACGACCATGATCCCAAACCTACTACCATTATTCTTCATGTAGGCCTTAACAACCGTGATCAGCTACCAAAGACCTCCTTTAACCAAGCCCAGAAATTAATCGCTATAGCCAATAAAACCTTCCCAAACTCCAAGATCCTCTTCACATGTATACCCATTTCAAATAAAATCTCGAGGAAAGCACAACAGAACCTCAGCACCCTCAACAAAATGATGGTGGAGTCCAGTATCAACAGCGCAACAATTTTACCACCCTAAGCAGAAGAATTCGAACCAGTTGATAATCTTCATCGGCCTCCAGAAACAGCAAACAGCATTTATTTGTTTTGGGAATTCTTTGAAATTCTCAACAACCACCATCCTTCTATCAAACTAACCGCAAACGTGAGTGACAAAAGCATAGATGTAATGTTACCATTTTATCACTTTATTGTGTGGTATTTGTGGTCTGAAACTTAGCTCAGTCTTGACAAGAGTCATCTTTCTGTTTAGAACTCTTCTGTTTAAGAAAGAAAAATTATTAATTTTTCATAGCAACGAAGTACTCAAATTCATTTCTCTAACTCTTCAGGTTTAGCCAACCACAATGTAAGTTTATACCCGATTATATAAGATAAGCCTCCCATGATATGAAATATCACAGGATCTATAATTTCTATCCCAATTTTATGTTTTTTCATGCTGTCTGAAAAACTTTTACCAAAATGTAAACAAACCTGACAAAATGGCGCCAAATTATGCATAAATCCCTCGCGTCAGTTTTTCGGCCTAACTTTGTACATGTGACACTATATTAAATGTTTGTACTATTAATAACATTTACAATGTCTTATCAATGCCTGTAATGTCAAACTGTGCAACCTGCTTTTAAGAAATTATTTTGTACGGAAACCCATGACTGCTAAACATAAGTGTGTCATTGCATCATGCACTTAAATTCCATCCACTTTCTTATGCCTTTACTATTTTATTATTTTCAATTATGATTTCTTTTTCTGTTTTGTACATCCTTGCTCATTTTTGTACTTTCAGCCTTTAACAGTTATGATTGCACCAGAGTACAAGATACAAGGAATGAGAATTCTGTCATATTAATCTTCTTGCCAATAAACTTTAACCAATCAGCCGTTTACACTCAATGTTAGGACCCACCACGTGGGCGAGGCATTACAGCTATCGCCTGAAACGTTGATAACAACCAACAATTATGGCTCAGGCCCTATCTCCTGAACGTTCAACCAGATCACATTTTGATCCTTTACCAAACCGGAACTCAACACAACGTCAACGACGTCTTCGTACTTTACAGAAGTAGGTCAACTAACCTACAACACCAAAGTGTCAGATTTTACATTAGACAACCTACGATTAACCTCTGCTCTAAATCAAGAATTGGAAACTCTCAGAACTTCTGATAGACAAACCCTAGATATTCGGGGTCTTCGCAACAAAATTAGAAGGCTTATCAATGACTATCATGCATTATCAACCGAATTCATCTCTTACTTAGACCAGGTTCACACTAGAGACAGTGAAAGAGAGAAATACAATCATATTAACTCAGGTGAACTTTTATATGATAGAGTAGACTCAGCTCTAGAATTTATCAATCAACAGTTGTCAAGAACTCCTTTTCACCAGTCATCTCATGGTAGACATTCTTCCCATTCAACTTCAAGCTCTAAAATTGCCAAACAAAAGGCCAAGGTTGAAACAGCTCTTGCATCTCTAGATTATGCTGAAAAGGAACTTGAATTGGAAAAACAACAAGCAGAACTGGCAGAATTAAACACTCAAGCAGTCTTAGAGCGAAGAACAAAGAATCTCCAGTCAGATTTAACCCTCTTAAATAAAAAGAAAGAAGCAGCCATAGCCAAGGCCGAATTAGACGTCCTATATGAATCAAGCTCCTCCACTAAGTCACACAGAACCAAATTAGACAGAGTGAGTGTTATTCAACAATCAACAATTGAAGAGCTCGACATGTTAGTAAAATGACTTGGACCTGAATCTACAAAATATGCAAATAGTATCAGATCATCCAACATAAGAAATCCACAAAATGGTCTACTACGCATCTGGGAAAGGTTAGATGAATGTTATGGTAGTCCTCAAATGGTGCAAAACTCCTTAAAAACTAAATTGGAAAATTTCTCGAAGATTTCTGCAAAAGACAACAAAAGACTGTATGAGCTCTTAGACATACTTGCGGAAATTCAATCATCCAAAGAAGAAAACCAATACACAGCTCTCTTAAGTTACTTCGACACTTCTTCTGGTGTTTCACCTATTGTCAACAAATTGCCATATGCCTTACAGAACAAATGGACTTACACTGCTAAGAAGTACATGAACAATTATCACCTACCTTTCTCTCCATTTTCTGTATTTGTTAACTTCATAAGAGAACTAATCTCAACATTAAATGATCCTACTTTCAACTACTCACAAGAAAAGGACAATTCACCAACCCAATCAAAGAATTTCCGTCCAAAACCTATTTCAGTCAGAAAAACTGAAACTTCTACCTCTACTACTACAGAAACCAAGAAACAAGAGTTATGTCCCTTGCATAAAACCAAACATTCATTAAATGAGTGCAAAGTGTTTAAATCTAAAACCTTATCTGATAGGAAACAGTTCCTTCATGAAAATTGGGTGTTCTACCAAGATTCCGCATGGATCCTATAGCTGTTATTGCAGTCATCCAACAGATGTTTTATTGTTTCTTTGTAAAAGAAGAACACAGAAACTTTCTTCGCTTCCTATGGTATCAGAACAACGATCCAGACCAACCTTATATAGAATATCGTATGTGTGCTCACGTTTTTGGTAATAGTCCATCACCTGCTGTAGCTACCTATGGTCTTCGAAAAACAGTCAAATTTAGTGATGCTGATGTTATCAAATTTGTGGAAAAAGACTTTTACGTTGATGATGGCCTAGCCTCCTTTCCAACTAGTAGTACTAGAGCTTTCAATTAGGTCGCATAAGGGGATTCCCCATTCCATTTCATTTCATGGGGAAAATGCGACCTAATTGAAAGCTCCCATAAAGACCTAAACATCCTACATTTCATAAATTCTTACACTAAAAAAGACCTAAACATCCTACATTTCATAAATTCTTACACTAAAAAAGACCTCAATTCCCTACATTTCATAAATTCTTACACCTAAATTCCCTACATTTCATAAATTCCCTACATTTCATACACTAAAAACACCTTCAATCAATTTCCTACATTCCATCAAAAAGCATATTAAAATAACTCTTTTTTTGAAATTTTCTACTCAAATTTTAAACCTTAAAAATGGCAAATAAAATACTAGATCCAATCTTTAGATTATATGATCCAATTCGTTATTCATTTAACAAGAAAAAAGAGGATTATATTATCATCTCACCCACTGTTGGTTCTAAATCCCAATTGAATGATGGTGGTAGAATTACCTTCGAAATAAATTCATTATCGAATTGGTTGCTTCTTTCCGATGCTTATTTCCGATGCGATTTCAAAATCAAAGACGCCACTCAGAATCAAGTTCCACAAACTAATACAACGTTAGAAAACAATTTCTTTCCATCTTTATTTAGCGAGATGGTTTTGGAAGCTGGTTCAAATCCGATAGAAACAATCAAACATCCTGGGGAATTCGACACAATGTTGAAAACAGTTTTATATCCTAAAGATTTCGATTCAGTTTCAGGCTGGATACCCGATGTTGGAAGTGTTTTAAAAGAACCGGTAAGAAATCTTGCAAATGATGCCGATTTAGCTCGAGTGAGAGTTGTTGCTCGAAACACAATAGAAAGAGTAGGACGATCAATTAATCATCGATTCGAAAAACGAGTACTTCAGTATAAAAATGTTGTTGAGAATAATAGGTGGGGTAATTACGTAAATTGGAAATTATATCCTTTATTCGGTCTGTTGGAACATAGAAAAGTTTCCATAGGTTTACCATATAAAATAGCATCATACCCGTAATAACACCATCAATTGAAGTAGAAACGAAAATATTCAACTCGTTTACTAAAGATATTGAAATAGCTTTTCTTCATCGTAACACTGTAGGTAGCATGACTTTAACTGGAGAATCCACCACATGGCCAATCACTAACACTATTAAACCAGCAAGATATTTAATAGTTGGTTTCAAGAACTTACCAGATTCTCAAACGAATAACAATAATGTCTTTAGAGTGGCAATGAACCAAACTCAAGATCCTTTAATCCATAAAGTTCAAGTAAGATTGAACAACGATAATTATCCTAACCAACATTTAACAATTAATCCAACCACAAAGGATTATAATGAATTGTATAGAAACTATAAAAATATGTGTGAATTATTTGGAAATCCACCTCAGTTTGAATATGTAGATTTTGCACTTAATCATCCAATCTTTTGTTTTGATCTATCTGCTCACCAAGAAGATCTTTTCAAAACAGGAGTGAACATAAATATTCATATTGAAAAAACACAAGGAGATGTAACAGGTTATTGTTTATTATTGGAAGAAGCAAAACATTTAATTAAAATAGCAGATAGAAGAATGATAAGAATTGAGTAAAAAATACACCCTTAAAAATGAAAGCAGAAATAGAAGCTATTGAAACAGCTTCACCAACTGTAATAACTTTCAACGGTAAAAAAATCAACATAACTAAAAAACTTATTGATAAATACAAATATTGTAAAGTCAAAGAATTGAAGCAAATGCAAAAGAAGGTGGATTTTTACCTTTCCTTTTACCTTTAATATTTGGTGGTATTGCAGCGGCGGGTGCAGCTACTGGAGGATTATCTGCCGCAGTCAAAGCTGCCAACGCAAAGAAAGCAGCTGATGCTAAAGCCGCTGAAGAACGCAGACATAATTTAATAATGGAAAAGGAAGCCAAAGGTTCAGGAGTGGGAGATATGATAGGCACAATAAAAGAATTTGGAAAAAGATTTGGGGAAGAAACCAAGAAAACTGTTAAACAAGGATTAAATAAATTAGTAGATAGTATTGACACAGGAGAAATCAAAGTCAAACATAAGGGTAATGGAATATTTTTTAAAAATATACACACCGGAGAAGGAATATATCTTTCGAAGTATAAAGGAGAAGGAGCTATTTTTGGAACAAATTAAAATAATAAAAAATGGGTAAAAAATTTAATCATTCAAAAATATTTCCTAATAACCCAATGCTCATTTGTATATGCGGTAATTCCGGTTCTGGGAAAACTCATCTCACTTTTAACATGTTGACAACACCAAACCTTTTAGATTTCGATTCTTTGTATATCTAGACAACAACACCAGAGCAATCGTAATATCAATTCCTCAAAGCTTTAGAATATCTACCAAAGAGAGATGTTCAAGACCTATTTCAATATTACAAAGAAAACGAAGAAAAAGTGGAATTGAAAGATTTCATAGATAACTACATCGAAGGAAAGAAACCAACGGATATAAAAGTTTTTCTTACGAAAAATGTTAATGATCTAGATTTGTCTCAAATTGATAGCGAGCGAAAGGACTTACTAGTGTTTGACGACTGCGTGGCGCTAAGAAATCAAGCCGTTCAACAAGAATTCTTCACGAAAGGAAGACATCACAACTGTCACTGCATATACCAATCCCAATCTTTTTACCGGATGGATTCTATGTTCATTAGAAAAAATGCAAATTGTTTTTTATTATTTGAATTAAACGACAAAGATTTATCTCGAATCGTTCAATCGATAAATCACGGAATGGACAGAGATGCATTTAAAAAGGTTTGTAAAGCTCAATGGAGATATCCAGATGATCATGGATATGTATTTGTAAATACTAGAAAACCTGCGGGTGAAAGAGTTATGAACGATATATGTTAATTTTATTTTTTTAAAAATGGATTGGAATAATATTTTAAAAAGAAATAGAGAATATATCAAAGCTAAGAATAAAATAAAAACCCAAGTTGAAAATAACAGATTACAACAACTCGGATTAATGGAAAATCTACAAACTCTATTTCAACCCATATTAAAATCTCAAGAGGATATTAAAAGGAAATTAGAATATAAACCTCCTATAGAACCTACACCTCCCAAAGCGATTGAATATAGTGGTGTTATAATTAAGACATTAGATGATATAAATCGTCTTTTTTCAAACCCTAACCCAGATTTACCAAAGAGCATTTCACCAATTGTTGATAATCAAGGTTTATTGTTTAATGGATTTAGAATTATATTTAGTGGAAATTCACCACAATTCAAAATCGACACAAAAGATTATATATACACATTAACGAAAGGATTAATAAATTTAATGAATGGCGAGGATGTTGGTATTGCCGATTATAAGGATTTAGTAGCATACTCCAAATTTCTAGATGCAATAAGAAAGTCAGGACCCGAAACAAGAAGATCAAAAGAAGTTAAACTATATAAAAGAGTAATTGAACGTGATGAAGAGGAATCAGATGATTATGCAGAATATTATCCACCAATCATACAAGAAATAGACGAATTCGAGGATATGATATCTGGAGAAGGTATAACGTTTTTATCCGACAACAACGAAGAATTGCTTAATAGATTACGAGTAATATTAGCGGCCATGAAGGAAGGACATCAATCGCACAGACAATTTAATGAAGTGAATTGTATATTAAAAAGACTCCTAGAGAAAGGTATCATAGATAAAAATGATTATAAAAGCGTGATTAAAAATGTCAAATAAAGAACAACTATTCGTCATCACCTCAAATAAATCAGACATTAAATTATCTCTAGATTATGAGTACGAACTCGATCGCAATCAAGAATATGAATTGGGATCAAAGTATTTCTCTGTTTACAATTCCATTAGAAATATCAACGCAAAAAATAACCAAATAAAAATATCAACAGATAATGGAGCTACATTCAAAACCATACGTTTACTACCAGGAAGCTATGAATACATAGCCATTAACGAATACTTATCTGAATATGCAGGAAGCGTCAATGGTAAAAACAATATCGAATTCGAAGGTAATTTGAATCTAAACAAAATAAAATTGATATTAAGAAATAATAGTCAAGTTGATTTCAACGTAGAAAATTCATTGAATACTTTACTAGGATTTGATAAAAAAATATACACCCAATCCACTTTAGCACCACACAAAGCTAATATCGAGAATGATATCGATGTGATAAATATACATTGCAATTTGATAAACGGTGGATTTTTCAATAAATACAAACGTCAGATTATTTACAGTCTTCCAACATTCACTGTTCCTATTGGATATAGAATTATAGAGAAACCATTTCAAACGACGTATTTACCACTTAATTCCTTTATGATTAAAGATATAAATCTGGAAATCAAAGATGGTAAAAATAGGTTTATAGATTTTGGTAACGAGGAAATTGTTATTCAACTTCATTTAAAACAAAAGAACTAACTCTTCATTCTCTTCTTGAATAGTTAGATAATCGAAATCATCAAATTCATAGTTTTCATCCAAACACATCTCATCTTTATTGTTGTAAGGATACATAATTCCTTCACTGTTTCTCTTAATGAGATTCAGATAACTTCTGAAAACTTTCTTTTGTTTTTCATTAGGAATAACTATTCCATCAGTAAAACTTTTTACCCAAGGTTTCTTAAATTCATTCGTTACGTCATGTCCACTAGCTAATTGAATGTAGTCTTCTACCTTAATCTTATAGTTAGAGTAAACCCTTAAACGTTTTCTTTTCTTTTAAAACACCATCGGAAGTTAGAATGATATTTTATTTTACTTTTGGCGCTAAATATAAACCAAATATGATTCCACCATCACCGTAATCATTCTTCCCTTTGCTATATTCGTTTTCAGACACCAACCCAGCTCCATTTAATTTATCCCAATTGCTAGACGAAATGTATAAACTATCAGTATCTGTATAGTATATTTCCGGCTATAAAATCCATCTATTACGTGAATAAAATTATTCCTTATTTTTTTACTGAGAGATAATATAAATGCACCTAAATGAGTGGGTGTTAATCTAGTAAAATCCTTTGGAGGAACAAACTCTTTTTCTTCTTCATTCATCTCAACTATATATTGACTATCATTTACTTTTTCATAGCTTTTGACATGTGAATCGAAGTTGGCTTTAAAAGTCGCTTCACTTCATAGATGTCTCGATGTATTTATATCCTTCTGAATAGATTTACCATACAAGGAATTACCTAATAATTTCATGCAATTACTAGCAACAATATCTCCTTCTTTTTTGTATTTATTCCTTAATTCCTTCAAAATTAAAATATAATCTCTATATGGTGGAGTTTTACAATTTTCTTCTTATACTATACCATCTAATATTCTAATAATTTTACCACCGGATTTCACTATTTCTTGAATATCAACTGATGTTAAAACATCGTGACAGAAACCATTTCTGAACCTGATTTTAGTGCCAGTTTCCTTCTGACCTATTCTATTCGTAAAAGTTATTTTATCTTTAGCTGGTATGGGTTGAAAGAACATTTTTTTGGGATATTCAAACCAAACTTTTAAAATAGCAGTTCTAGGTCTGAATTTTTGTTTATTAAACAGTTTTACAAATTTCTGGTAGAAACGCTCTTGCACTTTCCGCTTTAGGATATTCACCTTCTGTCATGGCTGAAACGTACAACCCAATAGCGTCAAATGCCATTAGTTTAGAATAGTCCAGTTCTTTGAGTTTAGCGTGAACTTCCGTTTTATCTTTTGGGCTAACACTGTATTCTTTGAATAAATCTATTATTCCTTCAGTGTTACTTTCATTGTATTCTTTTAATATGGCGCAGATCTCATTCATTTTAGCCGTTTCAAATGATTTTCGATTAGCTGAAACTCTTCCTCCTTTAATACTTTGCCTGATAAAATATCTTATAAAAGGGTGAGTATGCGAGTAAACTTTTCTTTTTGGGTGTGTTTGGGAACCATTCTAGTAGTTTCATACCATTTTTCTTCAACCATTTCTTTATCGTAATGATATAAATAATACTAATCCTTTAAAGATAAAGAAGGAGCCGTTAGATTATTGGAAACGTTTTGGAAGACAGTTTTTTTCATGGCTTGATTGTATTTTATCAAACAAGCTCCGAGACATAGAGTATCTCTTTTAGCGTAAGGTTCCCATTCGGGTCTTAAAGATTCCCAATTATCTTTAGTGTATTTTGCAATATTAACATCCTCGATCTTTCTCAAATTCATTGGTAGATTAGATGAATTTCCCCATGCTGCCAAACTAGATGATTCGTGTTGATAGGAACATGTGAAATTAATATTTTGCAAATAATTACAGTTACCCTTTATTTCTTTCTGTCTTTTCCATTTTTTCTGTAAATATTCATCAGTGAATGAATTAGTTAAAGGTATAGACAGAATTCCTCTAGCTGTTTTTAAAGGACATTGTGTTAGTTTTTTTACGTTTTTGATCATGATCCAGTTATCAAAACCGCTAGCGTTATGAGCAATTAATGTTATTCTTTTCTGATCTATTTTTCCTAAACGTTGTAACATTTGATCGATGCAATCTGTACCTACAAATATATGTACTATATTAGTCATGAGTTTGTTGTAAAATTCTTCTGGAATGGGATCTGTCGGCTTTAAATCTGGAAAGAGATTATTTATTCTGTTTAACATTTTCCTTAGTTTTTCTAAATTAACTAAAGTGCAGGAATAAGGTATGGCTTTATTTTCGTTGTAGGTTTCGCAATCCCATGCGTATAAACAATCATCGTGAATGGTTGGAAAAACGTTTAGTTTTAGAAGTGAAACTTGCATTACCGCATTATCATCTTCACAAGTTCTCCATACGTTTTCATCGTAATTATCTTCTATTTCTTTAATGCCCAAAGCTTTGTTATTTCTTCTTATCAAACAGAAATGTTCTTTGTGTAAATAAAAAACCCAATCTAATTCTATGTTTGGGCATATATATGTGAAAATTAGTATTAAATTTCTTATTGAATTCGCAAATTCTAGCAGTTGTCATAACTCCTTTTCTGTTTGATTTTTGAAAACTGTTGATGAAATCTTGAAATTCTCTCGTGTAGTCTTCGTTTAAAACACGATTAACGCACTTTACAAAGCAGCATCCATCGCTCGGTATATAACAATTTATACCGATATATTCTTTTATCTTTTTGAGTAGGCTAACACCACTACCCTTTTTTGTTCTTTTTATTTCTTTGAAATTATTTTTACGGAAAATGATTTTTCCTGTGAAATACCAATCGGAGGCATCCGATTTTTCATCCAGTGCAGCGAAGAAATTGACAAAAGTTTTGGTATTAAAACCTTAAAAGCTTTCTGTTTTGATGTAAAACCTAAAGTAATCAAACCACAAGATGAAGTTTGTGCGGCAGTGAATGCGGCTAACACATTCACTGCGGCTGATCGGAAGCATTAATCCACCGGTTACGGCTGTTGCCACCGTTATCCCTATTGTTAAAACTGTACTTAATGTTTTGAAAACAGAATCGATTTTACTCCATGTTTTTCTACATTTGTTGAATTGTTTTAGTTTTTCTTTTAGTTCCTTTTGTTTTTCTATCATGTAGTTTTGTCTACTTTCGAGTTCCATTTTTAGGGAATTAAATTAAGTGAACTTCTGATATAGCTAATTTACTAAAAACTTTTACACTTACTAATGATATTTGTTCTTTCGAATCATTAATCTTAATCATATGAACTGAAAATTTTGGTTTTTCAATAGAGATTGTTATTCTAACATGATACTCATAATCTCTTAATGCTAGTGTCAAAAAATTTTGTTTTTGTTGACTTTTATGAATATCAATTGAGGTAAATATATCATCATCATCAACAAAATATAGTTTTACATATTCAAAGTCTGCTGCTCGTAAAAACTCAAAAAAGCTTTTATCTTTTTTTTCTGGTTTTGGATTTCTAATAATACTTACGGATGATGGAGTTTCCGTTTCCAATATCATATTAAAATGACTCAATAAAAGATTATCTTCTTCATTAACTGGTATGATTAACATTCTAAACCTATCTATATAATTTCCACTCGTTTTAATTTCATATAAGTGTTAAGGTTGGGTGTTTTCAAGGGTATTTTCTAATTCTTTAGTTTCTACATTTTTTGTACCATTGATAAACTGAAGAACTTTTCGAGCGTTAAATCTGTGAAATAGATGAAAGTTTTGTTTGAAGAATATTGTATCAACTTTTACCTGAAAAGGGAAAGTAATTTTAATTGTAAGTTTTCCTTTGAAAATAAAAGCAGTTTCATCATTAAACATTTGATAGGTATCACCAATATATTGTTTACCATCTAATGTGGTATATACTCTTATATTTGCTGTAAAACCAAATTTTTTATATTCCATCAATATTATCAGTAATAGAAGCATCTTCATAACTCAAACTTCTAAATGGAAGAGTAAAATAATATGATTCTTTCTTGAGAAACTTTTTTTCTAATGCGACTATATTTTTGTCTTGTTTTAAAACTAGGTTATTAATAGTGGTTATCTGTTGTTGAATAACACTATCATCAATGTTCTGTATTTGTTGATGAATATAGGTTTTGATTTCGCTATCATCTATGCTTTGTTGTTGAATAACAATATCTATGTTTTGTTGAATATTTGTTAGTTCTTTTTGTAATTCAGTTTTAAATTCAGTTAATTCCCGTTGCAATTTGTCTTCACTTATACCTGGATTAATATTATCTATTAGTTGTTTAAGATCTATTTTTTGCTTTGTAATCTTATCATCTAAATTAGATATTAATGAACTTAAATTTTTTAACTGAGTTTTATCTACTACATTGATTAATTGTTGTTGAATAGCGACTATTTGTTTTGTATTTCACTATTATCACTAAGTTTACTTTCTAAGGCAGTTTATTTGTCTTCACTTATACCTGGATTAATATTGGCTATTAGTTGTTTAAGATCTATTTTTTGCTTTGTAATCTTATCATCTAAATTAGATATTAATGAACTTAAAGTTTGTAACTGAGTTTCATCTACTACATTGACTAATTGTTGTTGAATAAAATTTTTTAAACTTGTTACTTCTTGTTGTAATTTAGTATCATCAATATAATCTTTATTATTTATTTGTCATTTGAAGAATCTTTTCACATCATTTATTCTTTCTTTTAAATGTTCTTTATTTACTTCAATTGAATTTAATTGTTCCATTAAATATTTCTTGTGAATGGCATCAATATCGTTTTCCGGAGACTTTAAATTAGTTATGCTAAAATTGTTCATATCTAAATCACCTTGAAGAGTGTCACCGATTTGATCCAGGAAGTAAGGTTTCGCTTTATTTATCCACGCTGTAGTGTTATGTTTTTTGGTTTCTAAAGGTAAAGAACTTAATCCAAACTTATTCGCCATTTTTATTGAGTTAAATTTATTACAATTTCTTCAAACTGTTTTCCTAAACTCAACTGATATAAAACCCAAAGTGAAAGCTGACCACAAAACCTTTGTCCCGGTAATTGAATTTGAAATGTTGAACATTTGATTGGTTTATTAGTCAATTGGATTATCTCTTCAGTGGGTTCTAATTCATAAGAATCGAAGAAATAAAAGTCAGAGTCTTTGTACAAAGCAGAATGATGAACTCCTTTTTGATCGGAAGTATGTATATTTGTTATAGCGTAAAATTTACCTTCCTTATATTTGAGATCATTTATTTCATCTCTCATACAATAATCAAACGGTGATATATTTAACTCATTCGCCCATCTCATAAGTTGAAAGTTTGTGGTTGTATCGGTTCCATATTTATTGAGAAATTCATTCATTTTTAAAAGTCGTTTTTTTTTAAATATATACGTAGTTTGTGTTTGAAAAAAATTGTATTACATTCAATAATATTTTGAACATGAATTTGCATTTAAATTTAAAAAATTTAAAGCGTAAATGCTTGTCTACATCTCTTAATCTTCTATCAAATTCTTCATCATTCATTTTTAAAAGTCGGTTTTTTGAAGTTCATTTTGATAAAACCTACCTATGATTTGTTCTTTGTCTTGATCGATTAATTCATATGTCAGAGGTGATGTAGTGTTTACTTTATCAACGATAAATATTTCGTTCATCCAGTATCCAACGTAACCTTTTTCAAATTTACTTTTATATTTGAAAATACGAACTCGATCTCCAACTTTAAATTTGGGTTTGATATTTAAATTCTTTATTTCATAGTTATGTTGTGCGTTAATTGACTTTATAATATTTGGATTACTCGAGGCTTGTGTTGGTGTGACACCTATAGATGAATGAATTTTGTTATTGTATTCGTCGACAACAACTGGTAATATTTTAAGCCATTTTTGAGATTTCAATTCCGTGAACTTTTTGAATAATTTATTTTTTAGAGTCCTGTTAAATCTTTCAATAACTACCGCTTTACCTTTGTTAAGCGTACTGTAAATTTCAAATCCCAGAGATTTCATATTTTTGTTATAAAATTCACTTCCTTTATCTACCCATAGTTTTTCTGGATGACGGTTAGATTGTTTCATAATCGTTTCAAATGCGTGTTTGACTGATAATCCCGTTTTGTTTTTCAAAGGAATAACCCATACATATCTCGTATATAAATCTATAACTGTTAAGCAATATTTAAATCCTTTTTCGACTGGCATGTGAATTAAATCGGCTGACCATATTTCATCTTTTTCAAACACTTTGACTTTTAAAAAGTTTTTAGTTTTTCTAAATTCTTTATGAATTTCATCCGCCAATCCCATACCCAATTTCATCTTTCTCTCTTTGAAAGTTGGATTTGGAATATTTTCAAGTTCGATTATCATTTGTTTGTCTGCTTTGTGTCTAAACTTTATGTCTTTGTTTCTGTATAAAATATCATGTTTAAGTGCAGCGGCGTCACTTCTATTGACCGGTTCTTCTCCTGGTTTGGGTTGATCGTTTTCGTCTAATCGTAGATCTAACCTTGTGCCTGGACCTGTATAATTGTGCCCTGGGAGATGTTTTTCTCCGGGATATTTCGCCCATGGAAATCCAGGAAGAGAACCCAATGATTTTTGTATATCTCCTGAACCGAAATAAGTTTTTGGAGCGTGAGCGACTATCATTTTTATCCTATAACTTTAAAACCTTTTCCTTTCCTTTCTTCTAATCTCCTGTTTCGAAGTTCTCTTATTAGTTCTAATTCTTTCAACTCGTTAGATTGTTTCACTGTGTCGCTTATACTCTTTCCCGCTTCAGCGATTGAGCCGATGGCTTTCGCTCTGCTTGAAATGAGTGATTTGTTTTTTGAAACAAAGCTAGCTACTTTCGGAATTATTGTTTTACCTAGAGAAAATAATGAAGAAAAGATTCCGTCGCCCGAATAATCTTCGAATCTGTGTTGTTCGTGTTTTAGAATTAAACTCATCCTATTTTTAAATGAGTTAATTTAGTTTGTTTTTTATCCAAAAAGAGTTATCTCCCATCTACTAAAAATGTTATGTTATTTTATATAAGGTTATTTTTAATATGCTTTTTGATGGAATGTAGGAAATTGATTGAAGGTGTTTTTAGTGTATGAAATGTAGGGAATTTATGAAATGTAGGGAATTTAGGTGTAAGAATTTATGACATGTAGGGAATTTAGGTCTTTTTTAGTGTAAGAATTTATGAAATGTAGGATGTTTAGGTCTTTATGGGAGCTTTCAATTAGGTCGCATTTTCCCCATGAAATGAAATGGAATGGGGAATCCCCTTATGCGACCTAATTGAAAGCTCTAGTACTACTCCAACTCGCCAACAAGCTATTGATTTACTGCAACGTACTCAACGAATACTCAAGGACCAAGGCAAGTTATGTCTTCACAAGATTGCTTCCAACTCTGAAGAAGTAATGAACGCCTTTCCAACTAAAGATCTTGCTAAAGATTTAAAGGACTTAGACCTCAGGAAAGATATCCTTCCTGTCCAACGAAGTTTAGGATTATGTTGGGACTTAAGCACGGATACCTTCACATATCGTCTATCTTATTTCAACAAGCCAATAACACGAAGGGGAACGCTCTCTACTGTTAACAGCTTGTATGACCCTCTTGGTTTCATAGGACCAGTCGTCATTCAAGGAAAAAGCCTTCTTCGTAATCTCATATCTGGAACAACGGATTGGGATGAACCTCTACCAACATATAGAATTTCAGAATGGATTCATTGGGAAAGTTCCCTGACACATCTTCAGAATCTTAACATTCAACGATTCTACATTCCTACTTCTTACAGCGAAGCCACCATTCATGAACTACACATTTATTGTGACGCTTCAGTACAGGCGATAGCAGCTGTAGCTTATCTCAAAACCTACGACGAGGACGATCAAATTCACATCGGATTTGTACTTGGTAAAACTAAAGTCGCACCAACCTATGGACATAACATCCCACGACTAGAATTATGTGAAGCGGTTCTAGCAACCGAAGTAGCTGAGATTTTCACATTGGTATATTTGGAAATCCAAACAGAAGCAATATATTATTTGTAGAATCTTCTGAAGAGGTAGTCTACTTTTCTGTAACAGAAAAACATCTTCTAATTAACTGCCTCCTAATTGAGCATGTGGGGGCCCGGAAAGCAGATGTCGCCTCTGTTTGAAGTAAATACATCCCGCAGTTCATCTTATCCTTATAAAATTTCAAACAAATATCAGTGTTTTATGTGATGCATTATGCTAAGAAAAATGGTGTTACCACAGTGATCGATTGTTATTGGTTTTACGAAAACATGCATAAGTTTAAATAACTTACAAGTTTAATTACCTGCTGATCTGTCTACCTGCCGACCTGAAATGTGATAGGGTGTATTTTTTAAAGAAACTTGGTTCTTTTATTTATTTGTTATCTTCTCTAAATACACCACTACTGTTTTTATAAACACCTAATTACATTACACTGGCCTTATACTATTAACTAATTATTGCCCTCTCTTAATCTCTTTAACTCAACTGATCTCACTGGACCTTGTCACCTTCTGTCATTGGCCAACTGGGTGAGTTTTTAGTGAGTTTCATCACCTGTCCAGTCAGAAACTTTACTTTTACCTAAGCCTTTAAAGAAGAAGGAAGTATATTTCAACCTCCTTGAAATACTGAATACCTACTTCTTTATTCTTTTTCATCACCAGTTATTGTCTTCTAATAACTTCACAGGTATGTGTGTTTTGGTATTTTATTGNGTAATTGTCTTTCTGGGAAAGTATATNTTGTATGAGAGGTGTATAAATGTAACCATGGTAT